CTGCATAACGGCCAGAGAAAGAAACTTAGAAGGGACCTGCCCTAACTGATCAGGCGGTAAATAGGGAGGGCGGGAGATCTGTACTATCAGACTTGCAAGATTCTGTTCATGTTGCTGAGTTTGAGAAACACTGTCCTACGCCATAATGAAAGCATCCTTGAAATTACAGGTTGTGAAGCCGAAACAGAATACTACAGAAATTGAATCTTTCTTACAGATTCAGCATTCAAACCGTTTTGCACTTTTTATTTTTGCTGGCCCAGACGGGAACTCCTTGCCCCCTGCCCTTTTTGGGAAGGGACAGACCCTGTTTGGAAAATGGCCTGATCTGTTTTCACGTTACCCTCAGGCGGTGTGAGAATTCGTTCTCAAATTCCTTGTTGCTGCACCTCTGGGCAGGGGTTAAAAGAATCACTGCCAACCATCTCTGTTGGTGGAGGGAAGCACCCTCGCAGTTAATATGTGATCCAGCGTTGAGATGACCAGAAAATTAGACCCTCTGAGGGTGATTTTTCAAATTTAGATTAATTTGAAGAAGGTATTGATCTTCTGGGACTCAGGGATTGGCTCTGAAAAGAGGACCAGGTGGTGGGGTGAACTCCAGGCTAATCAGCACAGATTAGGATCTGTTCTGCATGATGCTGGGGGAAAAAGGATGCGGTAATGGTTGCAATTTGCAGCCTCGAAAAAAAGTGTGATTCACACCACCAGGAATACACAGGAGGAAAGAGGCTGCCTAGTATGTAGAACCAGGCTAAGTCTTTGTTCAAATATTAAGCTTAGTCATTTCTCTCTCCTTTGTTCCACAGTGGACATCAGGGAAATCAAAGAGATCCGGCCTGGGAAGAATTCCAGGGATTTTGAACGCTATCCAGAAGAAGCCCGGAAGCTGGACTCAACGTTGTGTTTCGTCATCTTATACGGAACAGACTTCAGGCTGAAGACGTTGAGTGTTGCTGGTCAGTGGAGGGTAATGTAGCAAACACTTTCTGAGAGGGGGACACAGTCAGAAGAGCCCAAGCTGAACCCCCAAACCCCACAGAACCCCCACAGCCTTGGGTGCCCCCCCCAAATCTCCAGTGTTGAACACCGCTGTATTGTGATTTTTGATGTGACGGAAAGGAAGATTGTTACAAGCATAACTGAAGGGTAATCTTGTTTGCTGTTCGTAATTTTAGCTAAATGCAAACAAATTGAAACCCAATTCTTGGCCACGCCCATTAGTTTTTGGGATGCAGGACTCATCAGGTCCTCAAAGGCCAAGAGAGAGAAAACTCTGGACAGAAAATATATACTGGAAATACTTCAATTTTTGGCCTCTTTTCTATAGTCCATTTTGATACAAAACGTGAAGTTTCCTTTGAGACAACTTCAGCTAAGGATTGATGGATGCATCCATGTTGTTATCTTGGCAATAATACAGAAAGAGTTTCTTGTTGGCCTCTTCCATGATGTTGGCTTGATTTTCCAAAGTAGCTCGTACCTCTAGAATTTCTTTACAATCTCCCATCCAAGGACTGAGCAGGACTAAACTTATTTAGCTTTGTGAGAAAGGCCAAGGCCGGCTGGGTGGAGCAGTGAGGACTTAAGTCTTAGGGTAGCCATTGCCTCAGATAGGTTTAACTGGAATAGGAGGTCCTGATTTATGTTGCTGCACTGGGTTATCTATTACCTCACTGGGGCTGTAGGTATGTTACACTTAATTTAAATTAAATATTTAAGTTTTAAATTTGATGATGATGATGATGATGATGATGATGATGATGATGATGATAGTTCTTAACAGTTCGTGGTGGTGGGAGCCTTGAATCATTTTATACAAATTCTAAGACCCAGCCAGTTGACCCAGACAATTCAATAGATTTAGTCCCAGAGAGATGTGTTTTCCTTTGAGGTGGAAGTAACTTCTTGGGCATGTGGTCTGACCAGTTGACCAGCAGTTGCAAAAGACAGGGCCTCTCTAGATGAGGGTTCCTCAACCTTGGCAACTTTAAGACGGGTGGACTTCAACTCCCAGAATTCCCCAGCCA